TACATTGTGGAGATTTTTTTTAAGATTCAATGTACCTGTCTCTTCTCAAAGTAAATGGGACTATGTACAACATTCAAACGTTTTGGGTCTGTATGATTTTTTCAATGTTTTTGAAAGAAATCTCTCATGTTCACAAGACTGAATGTATCTGATCAGAAATACAGTAAGAATGTGAAATGTTGTTACAATTTAAAAGAACTGTTTTCTATATGAATATATTTTAAAATGTAATTTATTCCTGTGTTGGCAAAGCTGTATTTTCAGCAGCCATTACTCCAGTCTTCAGGGTCACATAACCTGGCACGAATCATTCTAATGTTGAATTTTTGTGGATTCTTTGATGAACAGAAAGTTCAAAAGAACAGCATTTTTATTAGAAATTTTTGTAACATTATATATCTCTACTGACACTTTGATCAATTTAAAGCTTAATAAATGTATTGATTTCTTTCAAAAACAAAATCTTACTGACCCCACACTTTTGGTAAATATTAGGTCACAAGGGGGCAGAGTGGAGATGCATTAAGCAGAATATAGAGCAAAAGCAAAGCTTGGCACATATAATATTTTAGTGTTACCTTTTGCAAAGCTGAACCTGACTGCCAAGTTTATCTAAAATGTATCTAAAAAGTTTTAACTTAGTCTTAATAATCAATCATCATTGGCCTCATTCTTTTGCATCACATCATGTCATTACCTCTGTTTTGTACATCAGCAGCACAGTCTAGTTCTATTCTGAGTAGTTCTGAACTAATAGAAATGCCCCCTCAGCCTAATTCAAATAGTTCAATTCCACTCTGACCAACAGGAAAGAGAAGTTTGCTGCAGTGCACTAACTGCAGATAATAGCTTCTCATCAATCTCTTCCTTCAGGCTGTGTGTCTGGCCTGGCTCTTTTCATTCAGAGGACATATAGTTCTTTCATTTCTGGCCATACAGAGACTCATTATGTTTACAATAATGATTCAAACCCTTTTTATTTCCTATTATATGCGTGCCATGGAAGCACAAAAGTTGAATCTAAAGCAGCACATGCATCACAAAAAGATGCATTTAGACTGTTTAATGCTGCACAGAGACACCCTAAGTGCATTCATACAGAAAATATAATTGCATGTTATGATATTATGTAAATGTGGAAACCAAAACCATCTAAGGGCTGTTTTTTTTTTCAGATGCATATGTAAAATTACTGCCTAATTGAGTATTGAGTATTTCATGATCTCGCTGATCATAAGAACTGCATTTGGGATGATCAGATCAATTTCCAAACAACATTCACAGGACAGATTCGCAGTAGTTTTGAGGCACAGCTGAACTCCCCTGTGAACTGAGGCAGGGTGAACATGTGGGCGGGGCATATTTCGCGCTGACCAATCAGAACGCTCTCTTTCTCGCAGCAAAGACCTGACTACTTGAATGTGTGAGAAAAAAACTGACCAGTGCTAAAGAATAATCTCTACCACGATGGACGTGGGAGCATTACTTAGCCGCTCGATACTGCTGGCTTTACTCGTATTCACGGTGACCCAGGAGGCGCGAGGTAAGTCGCGGGACTATAACACTTCGTAGTTTCCCCTCGCCTACATTTCTCAAGTTTTATCCGTTTCCTTTTTTTCAGAATACTAACGTTAGTTACCTAGGAGTGTTCTAATATGGCACACGTCATAGGAAGGTGCGCTGGCACTAGTGTTTAGTGATTTTCGTGCCGTGACATCGGTCACATTCACATCAGTTAGCGAGCGCTTTTCTGACGGGGAGATGAGATGGAGTGGCTCGCGCATGCAATCGGAGCACCGCGCGAGGTTTGGATATCGCGACACAGTATTTATTTACCATACTTCAGAGCTCCTGTTAATTTATAACAACCTCTGGATCAAATGTTCAGTCATCTGAAACTGTTGATGAGATTTGCTTTCATTAGCGAGTAGCAGTTTACCTTCAGTCAGTTTCCATTTCACGTCTGTTTCGCACGTGTTTTGTGGCGATAGACGTTTTTCATAATTTGACATTTAAAATCACCTTGTCGACTCATTTATCAATTCTAATAGTTTTAGGGCACAGCCCAGACAGGTTCTTATTAATTTCCGATACGCACGAGTGACATCAAAGTCTGCATTTCAATGCATTTGCCATCAAGTTATGTGGACTGATAGGAAACCTGTTTTACATGTTTACTTGAGTTGTAATAACAGATCGGACTATTTCTGTACGTTACCAATATCACAGGCTATTCTTAACAGACGATACAGAACACCAGCTCTGGGATAGCTGATATCTTCCATCCATTATTTTTGTTAAGTAAATTTAATATGATTGAACGTCTATGGATGCAACAGTTTGGTCAGAGGCGGTTTCTCCTGTTTCACAACTGTACACGGACTAATTTGTTACATCTGTCGTGGATACAAATAACACTTCATGCATTACGTTTAAAACTTTACAGCAATGATTTCGAGCACAACAACACGTCCCATTCAAATGCTTTTGTATCACGAGTTAACATGACGAGACTTGTAGTTTGTATTTTGACTAGAAAAGCAGCGACATTCCTTTACACAAACAAATGCCTTTTATGTTTTCACTCATTCAGAGCATACGTTTTTTCGTTGTTTAAAGGCATTTCAACACAATAAAAAACAACAATTATTCCTACATTCAACTATCAAGCCAAAGCACAGCTTTCTTATTAAAAGGCATTCAAATTGTACCTAAATACAAATTAAATTCTTGCTTAATGACATGTTACATTGTGTATCTACATTTTTGAATGTAAAATGTGCCAAAAAGCTTAAAGGGTTAGTTCACCCAAAAATGAAAATTAGCCCATGTTTTACTCACCCTCAAGGCATCCTAGGTGTATATGACTTTCTTCTTTCAGACGAATCCAATCAGAATTATATAAAAAATTATCCTTGCTCTTCCAAGCTTTAGAATGGGAGGTGGGTGTTTTTTTTTTTCCAACAGTCCAAAAGACGTCAAATAAAGTGCATCCATTCATAATAAAATGTGCTTCAGACGGCTCCAGGGGGGTGAATAAAGGCCATCTGTATCAAATGGATGCGTTTTTGTAAGAAAAATATCCATATTCAAAACGTTATAAACACTGTTCTCTCACTACCGCTAACTGTCGTACGCAGAAGCCGTTCCGGGCGGATGACGTAGGATGTACAGTATGTGCAGCGTAAGCGCCGGTGATTAGTGACGAATGTGGAAGCGCAGAAGAAAGAACAAAGCAAAATGCCGGTCACGAATTAGAAGTACAAAACGAGGATTTGTAAAGAAGTAAAGCACTAAGCTTGAGTTGAGAAGCTTACAAAATGTATTTTATTAACAACAGTAACATGAGCAAAATCTAATTTTTATGTAGAAAAGATATATCTTGTACTCTTATTAAATGTACCATTATTCTTCTAACTTCAGTGATTATGTGATTTAGACGCAAATTGAAGAAAAGTTTGTTTTTCAAAGCACTCTGTGATGTTTTTTACTTCATACACAAAAAAGAGCGAAACTCTGACAAAATCTGATTTCTTGATGATTTGATATTTTATAATAGTGATTTTATAGTTGTTATTTTATCATTTCAAAATATAAAGGGAAAAGTATAAATGAATGACTAATAAGCCAATAAGTGCTCCTCTGCTCTCACAGGCTCGTGCGCTGCGCATACATCCTACATAACAGGGCTCCAGACTAACTATTTTTACTAGGAGCACTGTAGCCCCTGACTGAAAATGTTTAGGAGCACAAGCAGAAAATTTAGGGGCACACCTTAAACCAGCCTTCAATGCAATAATTTATTACTGATGCAATTACATTTGTATTACTGACAAGTGCTTTGATAATAAATAGACTTAACTCATAGAGATTACAATGTGCAGTATTCTTTTAATTTCAGAGAGATATGACAAATATGTTACAGATTTTACAGATTTTACAGATATTACAGTAGGTGCTTTAAAGTGCTGGAAATAGTTGTGTGAAATGCTTGCAAGTCATTGAAAATTGCTTGAATTTCTCTCTCAAAAGGCTGTACAAACCCTGAAATAACTTTCGACTATTTCTGCCACAACACCATGGTTACAGTTAGCGTTACTGCTTCTGGTTTTCTACGTCAGCTCTGTTTGATCTGTTTATAACAGAGATTTCTGTGCAGAATTTGAATTCATCTCACTAGATCTCACAGCATCCTTTATTCATTGTGCGGCGAATTCAAACACTTCTCAGTGGATCTCGCAGCGCTGTGCTGTAACAGTGTCCCGAAATCAACTTTGGTTCCGGGGTAAAGGTGTTCTGAGCTCGGACTAGTTTGCTTGCGTTGCGGTCCGAGCTGATAAGCGGTCCGTGTTGCGCAGCTCAAACGAGTAACGGGATTTTGTTACGCTTTTGTTTCATTTGCCGTGTGATGTTTCTCATATGCAACAGAAATGCCAGCGCGAGTTGAACAATGCGGTGGTCGAGCCATTGAGACCGCGCACAAAATTTACTCACACCGGCCGAAAAAATGGTCGCAGTCTGGAGCCCTGCATAAGTGTTTATAACATTTTAAACATAGATATTTTTCTTACAAAAACATAGGGATATGCCGGTATCAAATTCTCATGTTGCGATTAATTGCTAATGCTTTTATCACGGTGTTCTGCATTTTGACCAGTTGATGGGAAAAGTATTCTTAAAATGCATTCAAAATTCTAAATAATTTGTAATATATAATTATTCACGGTATTTAGAAGTGCCCACGATAACAATATTGTGCATATTCATTACCGTGATATATCGCATTACCGAATACCGGCACAAGTCTACAAAAACATCGATTCGCTACAGGAGGCCTTTATTCACCTCCCGGAACTGTTTATTATGGAAGGATGCGCTTTATTTGACTACTTTTGGACTGTTGAAAAAAACATTATACTACTGCCATTATAAAGCTTGGAAGAGCAAGGATAATTTTTAATATAACTCCGATTGGATTCATATGAAAGAAGAAAGTCTTGTCCACCTAGGATGCTTTGAGGGTGAGTAAAACGTGCTGATTTACATTTTTTTGGTGAACTAACCCTTTAAAGGTTCAAATATTCTTGTGTTACCTGTGTTATGTTGTGTTACTTGTGCATATGTCCTTGATTAATATACTGTGATAGGCAGAGAGGAAACATTCTATATTTACTCCAGCACTTATCTCCTTTCCCAATCACTGAGCTTCTTCTGTGATTATACAGTCTGACCCTGAAAGATCAGAAAGAAAATAGTTTTATTTTGTGTTCGCTGAGTTGTGTGAACTGTGGCTTTGATTTACAGGTAGTGTTTGTCCTAATGTCGTGCTAATATTCTCTTCTTATGTTTAGATTGTCACATCATCTAACATTTAATTAATATTTAGTAAGACACAAATTTAATCACAGTGTTCAATGCAATCTTTAGCAAATACTGAAATAAATATCTGTTCCCTTTTGATACTTCACTCGTACTGCATCTTGCTTACTCAGGGAACCGAGGTTACGTTAGTAACCGAGTACGTTTTTCATATTATACATCATACTGTGTTGCCTAAATTCACTTGTAGTATTTAAAATGGTAGATTTTAGTATTTAGTGTCTTATTTAAATTTTATTTAGATAAAGTAGTATAGAATTTGGTGACACTTTAGTAGGGCTGAACGATTAATTGCATTTGCGATAATATCGCGATATGAAAAAACACGATTTTTCAAACGCAGAGACTGCGATTACACTCGGTCACGTGACACGCCAGAGTAAAGAGGTGTGTTCCACTTTTTTTTCTTAATAAACTTTTTGTAAGCTAGCATGTCATTGTATCTTACTGATTTATTGTTGTTGTGCTTTTTAATTAAGAATAACAATGAAACTATAAACTAGGATAAAAGTTCATCAGCATGCATTGAATAACCCCATGTTGTAGCGCAAAAAAAAAAATATTGCGACCAAATCAAGTGCTGGTTCCACCAGCTGAGAAAGTTAGTTGCAAAAGAGCGACCAGTGGGAAGAATGAGTCTGGAGCCCTGGAGTTTATTGAGGTAAAATCATGGTTCATAGTTAGAATTGTTCCCCAAATTAAAGTTTGAACTAGAATTTTAATAATGGCCATTTATCAGTTATTGACCGCACCATGGAAATATCATATCGACCAGAATGTGATACTGGAACATATGTGTGCTTATAAAATGTCAGCTGCACATATTTTGGCCTCCCCTTTCTGAGTTGTATATCTGTGTGATACAAATTAAAATGTACTTAAATCTTTGGCTATTTATGTGTCATGTGTAATCATCATAAAATACATGATGGATAGGGATGTAACGATTCACTCAACTCACGATTCGATTCGATTCGATTCACGATTCGATTCATGATTTTTTTTTTACAAAATGAGATTTAAGACAAATTATAAATTAAATGTGTCCTTTTATTATTGCTTGGACAAAATGCTGCACATTTCTTTGTCAAATTGAGATATAACACTATAATAATATACTAATATCGCACTTGCATATTATTGCTCTTTTGTTGGTTTTGATTG